AATAAATGGAAAAGAGAGACGTATGTATAGACTTTTGTGCTTTTAAAAGCTTACTAAACTTTCTGTTTAGGTGTTTATCTTGTTCAAGAGAAAAACTGTTTGAAAAGCGAAAAGGAAATGGCTACTGTGGATTTGAACCCACTGTGCTGCTATTCCTGGTTTCAGTTTAGGAGAAGAAATTAAGAAATTCATTTGGCAGAATTGAAATCATTCCAAAATTATCCAAAACAGAAATGGCTACTGTGGATCTGAACCCACTATGATACTATTCCTGGTTTCAGTTTAGCAGAAATTAATAATTTCATGTGGCAGAATGGAAATTACTCCAAAATTGCCCAGCTTTGTGCTAAGCAGGGGAGGGGTGGTAGAGCTGGGCCCTGCGTTAGCCTGTGGATGAAACCCTGCACCAAGCCCTGTTGCCCTGCTTAGCTCAAGGTGTCTGTGTCCTGGGAGCTGAGCATCTGTCTGTCTTTTCCTCTGAATTTCCTGAAAGAGATTTAAGAAGCAAAATTTCTCATTCCCCAGTACAAGGATAGGAGAGTGAGAGCTGATCAATGGGAAGAGCTGGTAGGGGAGGAGTTATCTCTTTGGGAAATGTTCTTTCAAGTTTTACAAGAAAAAGAAAGTCTCTAAAGAAATTGAATTATTCTTTGTACTTATAGAATGGAGCAAGAGGATAATCCTTCCTGTGGTCTTTAAAAAAATAAGTAAATCTTTAACAGGATTACAATTGTGAGATAGCGCAGGGATGGGTACATGAATAGCAACCTGTCGCATGACCTCCCGTATCTTTCAAACAAAAAATACTAATTTTAGATAAAAGGGAGTTTCGTTGTCCAAGATATAGCAAGCTGACCAAAGAAGACAAAAAGAGAGGAGGGAGGAAGAAACAGAAATTCTTCAAAAAAAAAAATGTTTTATTTGATCTCGTCCCTTGAAAAAAAAAAAAAAAAGAGAAGCCAAACCCTTTTGGCTGCCTTTTGGGCGCTTTGTTCTTTTCCCTTGTTAGATATCTCTTCTGAGCTGTTTTATCCTGTTTTGTTCTGGAAAATGATTTTTGAAATGTCAAAACTTCAAGGTTCTTTTGTCAAGGCTTAAGCAGTCCCACTGAACTTTGAAGGAGACCTCAGCACGAGAGACGCGAACTTTGGATGCAGCCTGAGCAGGTCCGGCTTTGATCAGCATTTGAGAACGAAGGGGGGAAAAACACACACAGATGCATGCAAAAACCCAAACAAAACAATCCCTCGAAGCACTGGCAGTGCTTAGCCTTGTAGTGCAGTCCCCCTTGGTGCCAGCACAGGGTGCAGTCCTGCTCCTACAGCCTGTGGAGCCCAAGGGCCGTGTCCTACACCGCGGGGAGGTGGTGGCAGGTTGGGAGCTGGCTGGTGTGAGGCTGCTGGGTGGTTTACCTGGGCCCTAAATGTCTGTGTTTAAGGGGAATTTTGCTGAGCTGAAGGCAGTCAGCTGGGAGATGGCATCTCTGGGGCCCTGCTCCCCGTGGTCCCCGTGTGTGTGCTTCAACCTGGAGGCCGGGTTTGGGCGAAGCAGCTGGGTCTGTGGTTCTCAAAGCACATCTCCAGAGGACAACTCAGAGCTGGGGCTTCCCTCACCATTGCACAGGCGGTGTGAGCCACGTGGGGTTCATGTCCCCATGGGTTTCGTGTCCCCATGGGTTTCATGTCCCCTGGTGCTGTCCTCTTCTGTCACCTCCGCTGAACGCCGCGCGTTGGAGAAGGCAGATCTGGCGGATGTTTCTGACGAGCTGAAGGTGTTTGAAATGGCTCTCGCTTAGAAAATGTTTGTTCTCAGTGGTTTCTGAAAGGATTTGATATTCAATCTTCCCCTTCTTGGCTTTTCAAGATGTTTTTGATAAGTGCACGCTGGTGACTTGTGAAAACTGTTTTATGTGTGTGGATTCTTTGAAAACAAAAAGAAAATTTGTGTAAGAGAGGCTTTGAAATCTTCAGAATTTTAGCTTTCAAAATATTTGTAAAGCTTCTCTTCCTCCTTTTTTTTTTTTAGGCAAGCTATGAAAGGATCAAGGTTGGGATTTTTGTTTGTTTGTGTTTTCAGTAAGAGTGAAGGTGAGGAGTGTATCTGTGAACACATCTCACAGCCTTACCCGTCTCTGGGCCGTGATGTGAGAAGTTTCCTTGCTGGAAGTTGTCCCCTCTTTCCTCCTCCTCCTAGGAAGGAAAGGAAGGGTTTACAATTAATTAGAACTTTCAATTTCCCCAGCTTTTTTATTTATTTATTTTTTCTTAGACTGAAATGAGGAAAACAAAACAAAACAAAACCACACAGTATCTCACTGAACTTTAAATTCAGGGATTTTGGATTCAAGTGTTTTCACTTTCCTTTTTTTTTTTTTTTCCTTTTTTTTATTTCTTTCAATTCCAATTGCATTATATTTGGGAAGGTCTTTCTTTGTAAAAAATATGACAAAGCAAAATCTGCAAATTATTTCAAGCTTCTCAGATCTGTGGTTTTTTTTTCACCCAACAAAACTGCACCTGGCTCTGGTCAGCCCGTCCCAGGACAGCTTCCCTGCTGTCACCCGCTGCGTCCCCTCCAGCAGGCGGGTCCTGTGCCAGGGCACTCCGATGGCTCAAGTCACCTTCCTCTTTACGAATCCTAATTATACGACTATTTTATGTCTGATTTGCTTCTGTTGCTTTTACTCTGGCTGTATTTTAAATAGAAGTGGGGTTCATTAAGTAAGGATTTAATCAAGAGCTGGTGGTTTTGCTCTTCAGTCTTTGGGCACAGAGGGAGTTGTCTGTAACCGAGCCTCAAAATGCACTTACGTGCTTCTTGAGCCGTGCTAGGAAGCTACAAAAACAAGCAAGCGAGATTGACAGGATGCTGTGTGGATGTAAACACTCCCAACGGGTTCACGATGCATTTCACTTGGTAAAACAAACCAGCAATAGTTACCATTGGTATTTAAAGCTGTCTTTCAATGTTCATGGCAGAGACGATAATTAACAGAAGAAATCAGATGGCTCTAAGGACATTCTCTGAGCCTGGCATTTCGATGCTCTCCTCTGGTGTTGTGGCATTTGCCCTGCAATCTGCTGTTGCCGTGTGGCTGATTGAGATATCTCCTGCAGCCCTGGCGAGCAGGCTCCTACTCCGCTGGGTCCCCAAGCAGCTGCAGCTCTCCTTTCTGTGTGCTCGTGCAGTCAGGAGTTGGGCTGCATTCCTCAGCTACCAACATAGAGATGCATCTGTTTAGGCAGTATCAATACAAACGATTTGAATTCACGTAAATTAGGAGCTATGTTTTTATGGTGCTGAGATCTCAGGATACCTGGAAATGGGGTCTCTCTCCTGAATGTCGGACTTTAGGCTTTGCTTTCTTATCCTTTGTGTGGATAACGTGGTGCAGGATGAGGTTGAGATGGGCTCCTTCCTCCTCAAGCATCTGCAATTCTCATTCAAAAGGAAATTGCAAAGCTTGTGTTCAAGCCGGTTCATGTGGGGTGGTTGCTGCTATATTTCCTATTTTTCTGCTTTTTTAATTTCTTGGCTTTCATTGAGCTAAGAACTTCTGCAGTGCTTAGCGAAGCACTTAGACATTATTTTTCTAAGTGACATAAGCCCTCAAGTTTCAGGAAAATAACACCCTGGATCTGTAGACTTGCCATCCTCGTGTAATCACTAAGAAGGATTTGAGTCTTCAGGTAGTGTCTGCAAAGCTTGTCCCTGTTTCCACGTCCTAGCACCTGGGAGGATGCCTGCTGTCTCCTGCCTTACCTGGCAGTTCACCTGGGCCACTCCTCTCTGAAGGTTTCTTCTCCCCTGTTTTTAGAGGCTTTTACCCCGGTAACTTTTGTAAAACACCACTTAATGGCAGAGGTTTTTTGGCTCCCCTCTGATCCGTGCAGCACTATTATGGAGGCAGTCTTATAATCAATGTAATTGAAGATCAGAGTTAATGAGGACCTCTGTGCCTGCAAAATCCCCCAAGCGATGCTGGGCCTCAGATGTTAGATAAGGAAATGATTGGGCTGAACTGAAAATCTATTTGGCTAATTAGATGATGCATATTCCCAGATGCCAGTGGGGAAAAATACATTTCACAAAATAAAGAAACGTAAGATTTGGTAAGGAAAGATTTTTTTTGGCAGGAATTCTCTTCTAATTCTCGGGGGAGAGAGTGAGGGAGTTTCTGTGCTGGGGGGAGCTGTGTTGGGCCAGTTTTTGCTGCCTTGAGCTGGGAGGTGGGGATGGGCTGGGGTGCTGCTGGCCTCCTGCCTCTGGGATCCTGCCTCTGGTGGGCACCACCTGTGTGAGCCGGGGACGTGATGCTCTGATCTTATGGGTCAGAACAATCGCATCTGTCCGCATTCCTGCAGGGATCTGGGAATCAGAGCCAGTATCTCGTGATACTGGGAGGGGTGGGATGCGATGGGGGGAGCATCTCAGCTGGTGGAGCACTCAGACCTTCTGCTGGGGTGTTGGTGTGGAGGAACTTCACAGCCAAATGCAGCTCTTTGGTGTGAGTGCTGGTGATGCCAGCAGTATTTTGCTGATCTCAGCATCACACCAGCTACAGAAGAACAGCGTGTCTGATACTGGGCCATTTTTTTTCTCCTTTTTTTCTTTTTTTTTTTTTTCCCCAATCGGCATGAAAGAGAAATCAGAAACGAGAGAGTGAAAGTAGCTTAGTAATCTGTCAGAGAAGGCTGAGGAGCCCACAGCACCCCGACCCATGCCCCTCATCCAATTCTCAGCCTTTGCAGGGCTGGTTTCTGCCGTTGTTGCTGGAGTACCAAGGTGTGACCCACTGCAGTAGGGGCTCTGCTGTGGAGAATGATGGGGCAGGAGCTCAGAAGTTCTGCTGCCTCCTGTACAAATTCCTTGGTGCCTTATTTAAGATATCCCTTTTCTTCCCTGTGACATACTCCTTTTTTATTTATTTTTTTTTTACTTTTACTTTTTTTTTTCCTTTTTCTGCACACCTAACACACTTTTTTTTTTTTCACCCTTAGGCAGCAGCTTCGTTGTGAGCGAAGGCAGCTACCTGGACATCTCCGACTGGCTGAACCCAGCCAAGCTGTCCCTTTACTACCAGATCAATGCCACGTCACCCTGGGTGAGAGACCTCTGTGGGCAGAGGACCACCGATGCCTGCGAGCAGCTGTGCGACCAAGAGACAGGTAAGGGAGGCCTGGGAAGAGCCAAAACCCTTCCGAGGCTGGAGAGGCGAGGGAGGAGGTTTGTCTCGGGGTCAGCCAATGCCCACTTGGCTCAGCCCCATGTTAGCCTGGTGTTAGGCACAGGGTAGGAGAGTTACCAACAGGGCCACGCAGTGGTGACCACCGTTAGCAAGGCATCAAGGAGGTGGGTGCCAGGATGGGGATTAGAAATAGAGGGTCTATCAGTTCGTTGGTGTGGTGATAGCAGGCACGTGGAGTTTGGCTGTGTATAAGTTGTGCTGTTTTGCTGTCTATTTTGGAAAACCTACCCATCATCTTGCCCTGTCACCATCCCTTGTCTTTCTTTGACTGTTTAGTGGCAGAGCACAGCATTTCCCATCTGTGCTCCTGCCTAATATGACCTAGGTCTGATCTCTCCTCCACCTGCCTTGAGGAGCTGCAGATGCTGCTGCTGTCTTGCCCAACTCACAGATGAATTTTTCACTGAGCACACCCTGCCTGTACGCAGTTTTGCCCCTGCTGTGCTGGTAAAGTGGCCCCTTTCCTTCTGGCTCATGTGTTCCTGGGTGACACACGGGGACTTAGGGATATGGTTTAGTGGGGACTGTTAGTGTTAGGTCAGAGGTTGGACTCGATGATCTTGAGGTCTCTTCCAACCTAGAGATTCTGTGATTCTGTGATTCTGTGATCTGCAGCCACCTGGGAACACAGACACAGTGAGAGTGCAACCAGGGAATGAAGGGGGTCTGTGGGGTGGGAAATGCATGAGTGTGTGACCCCGTGTTGGCTGCTGGTTTTTCGGTGGGCTTGCAGAGGGACAGCTCACGGAGGAGCAGGCTTCTTCTGAGCATCCCACTGCCATAGGCTGAGCTGCTGATACATGGCAGCTGGAAAGGAAGAAACCCTCCCAGGCCATGAGCTGGGAGCAAAGAGTGTGCTGGGGGCTGGCAGGAGGGGGCTGGTTTTGTCTTTCCCTTCTCAGCTGAGATGCAAATACTAAACTAGGTCTCATAAATCCATTTTTGTGGTCAAGACAACGTTCTCTTTTCACATTCCTGGTCCTCATTTCAAGTCTTGACAGGCGTAGCCACAGCACAGAAATCATTCTGGCCAGTTCCCCATGCCGACAAGCCCTGGGTGTCACCTGCAGCCCCAAGGTGGGAGGTGGCAGCAGCCCCCTGGCATGTGGAGGTGATGCAGGAGGAGGATCTTCACACTCGGGTGGCTCAGCACAGAGCCACATCAGCAAAACACAGACAGCTCTGAGGACAAGGGAAGATCACTTCAGCTCTCCCCAGGTCCAGGGGAGGAGGAAGGAAAAACTTCTGCTGCCAGCAGAAACCACAAGGAGACCCTGTGGAGGTTGCTCCGCTCGCTGGCACCGAGAAGGGCTGATACAGCCCCTGAGTGGTCTTGTGCTCTCCCACAGCAGCTGCTGCTGCTCCCTGTGCATCCCCAGTGCACCAGAGCAGCTTCTCCCTCTCGCTGGATGCCCCATGCTTGAGCAGGACGTGTCAGATCTCGTTTGCAGGGAAGGGACTGATGCTCGTTAACCTGGGAGCTGCTCAGCTCCGGCGCCGTGCTGGGTCCTAACCTCATCTGCTGCTTTACAGCTCCCGTCCCTGCTTCCCATCTGGCCAAAACCTGGGTGGCGATGACTCTGCCTGATGCTGACTGAAGTCTGGCACATCCTGGGTGTTGGATGGAGAGAAGGCGCTGGGATGGGGAGAAGGAAATGGGTTTGAAGGGTCTGTGAGCTGTTCAGAGGTGACAGCCACAGCAGGAGGAGCAAGGCAGCAGGTCTCTGTGGTCCTGGCACGTTGGGGCTCTGAGCCAGTCCCGTGATGGAGGGAGGGCAGAGAAGCCATGCTCTGAACTGTCAGCTTCCTCACCCAAAATGTACATCAGCTTCTTCCCCCCTCTCCATCCTGGCAATTTGCACATGGATGAAGCAAAACCTTTCCCTTGTTTGTGCCAGTTGGATCCCCAGGGGCAGGGCAGGACTTGCTGGTGAGGCTGCAGGTTTTCCGAGCAGTTTTCCAAATTTTACCAAGAGCCGAGCAGCCATCCACTGACAACGAGGCCTCTGGAAGCACCTGCTGGACACCCAGCCCCAGGAGACGCCCCAGACATGGCTCACATTCGTCACTGTTGACCAGCTTTCAGCTGGTGAGAAGCTCCCATGCCAGGCTGGGAGCAAACTGTAGTTCTCTGATGCCCAGCGTGCATTTTGAGATTTATTTTTATTAATGTCATTCTATTTTTAAGGGTGATTTATTTTTATCACTGTGAGAGAGAGAGGCCTGTGGTTTTACTAGGGGATATAAATCCCATGTAGGTTTCAACCTTTCCAGGTCAGGGATTTTATCATCTCCGGGAGCATCCCAAGCAGTGGGTGCAGGGAGTTTCCCTGCTCTCCCTCCTCTCTTGCTGGGTGTTCAGGAGAAGGCTGGACCAAGGTTTGTCCTGCCTGGGGGATGACTGCCCTGCAGGTTTCCCCTGTGAAGAGCAGCAGGGCCAGCCTAGAAATGCTCCCACACATTTATAGCTGATCTCTTCTGCAGTATGGATCCAGCTTTGGCCCAGAGCTTTGCTCCAGGGTTCAGGCAGAGGTGTTTTCAGCAGCAGCTCCTGGCACACGTTTGGGCAGAGGCCACCAGGTCATGCAGGCTCTGTCTGCTGAGACTCAACCTCTCACCCTTCACAGGACTGAAAACCTCTTTTGGGTTGGAGTTTTTGTTTAACGCCTGTCTGTGCGATGTGCTGATACGTGACTGAGGCCACTGAGTGCTACTTCAGTATAAATAATAATCCACACTGAAAACGGTGGCTCTGAAACGCTAGGAAATGCCAAAACACATTTTGCTTGCCTGACCTTAATTTGCCTTCCCTTGTGTCTTCGCAGTGTGACTCATTCTTTAATTAAATGATTGCTGCCCCTGACAAATTTCAAGCCCGTATTGCAAAGTACCAACTCAACAGAGCTTTTCAGAGAGAGCACCAACATCTGCACATGAGCAAAGTGCCATCTTTCCCTTCAGGTGAGCTGGGTGCCTCTTCCAGATGCTGGCACATCCTCACACAGTGCAGATAACGTGGCCCAGAGCTGCTCCTCGGCTGGAGAGCTTCAGCCAAAATGCCCCATCTTCTTGGCAGGCGCTGCCTGAAGCGAGGACAAGGAAGGTTTGTGTCCTGCTGGTGCTCGCAGGCACCTCTCCTCGCTCTCTGTTTTTTCCAGTGGATGTGGCACCTGTGCCACACTCTGGGATGTCTTCTACAATCACAGAGCCCTTTGTCACTCGCCACCCTCACCAGTGCTGGTAACATTTACGAGGGCATCCATTTTTGGTGGCATATGCAAATCCTGATTTGTGAGCACAATTACCTGCTTTGTATGCACAAAACTGATTCACTTGCACATTCTGTGGGCATCACTTAAGAGGCCTGCTGGAGAATTGGTCCCTGAGGGCCAAACGCTGGGAAAAACAGCCTGTGATTCTGTGCTGTCAGGCTTGCTAGAGCAGTGGCATAAATGAGATGGATCGCTACCTTGATTAGCAGGTGCAAGTGCGTTGGTTTTTTTTCCCCATCCATAAATCAGGCACTTACCCGTCAAAGCTCTCTTCTATGCATCCACAATTGATTGCACCCACAAAACAATAGGCACATGCTTGTAAGAACCCAATTAGATGTGGTAGTGAAAGGTCTTTTCTAGAAATTGGCAGGAAAAAAAAAAAAAAAAAGGTTTCCATCATCTTCCAAATGGGCTAGTTTGTCACCTGAGCTGCAGATGGTTTTGCTGTCCTGGTAGGACAAGGCTCTTGCAGGCAGGAAACAGATGAAAGTCGTTGTTAAACATACCCATTTTTTAAAGGCACTTGTAAAGGGGATTTGGAGGTTGCAGAGCTGAACATGTAAATCAGCAGCTGACCAACCTCAGTGAGGGTGTATTTGTGTTTACGAAAACAGTCATTTTCACTGATAGTTCAGTGTAATATCATGCGGCTTTTGTGCACATCAAGTAATATTTGTTTGTTCTCGTACACTTCGGCTATTTTCGCTGTTGGAAGATCCCAGTGTCTTTATTGACTTAGACTTTTATAAGATGAGGTTCCATCTCTCTAAGGTATGTAGTTTAATAACTTGGTCAAAAACCATGTAATATACGATTTCCTTCCAAGCGGCGGCACAGCTTGCCTTCTGCACCAAGCAGGGCAGGAGGCAGTTAACTCCCAAGCTAATTTAGCTTCGGGCTGAAGTGTTAGACATAAACAGCAATCAAAATGCATGCCCGCGAGGGGGCTGAGTTAAGGTTATCTGTGCTGTCTTTACACTCTCATTTTCTGCCATTAGAGTGTTTAATCCTGCAGCTACTAATGTTCTTGTAATGGCATTTCTGAGCTTGTCTAAAGGCCACGGAGGGGAGGGAAGGGGAGCGAGTGCTCCTGGGCCCATCTCACCTGCCTGACCCATCCCAGCAGCACTGCAGAAGGTCACTCTTCAGCCGTGGTCGTTGATTTGGGCAGTGGACATGCCAGAAGACAGCAGCCGGGCGCTGCAGAACACCCTTGGGTGCCGCCAGCTCAGGACCTCGCGCTGCTGCCTTGCATCAGCCATGCACGTGTGCCCCCCGGGAGCTCCCTCGGCAGCACGGCTCAAGGGCTTAGCAAATGATAATGAGAATAATATCTGTGCTGAGCGTAAACCAGGCACGAGCCTCACAAATTAAGCTTGCTTTTAACTGCTTTGATGCGTCTGGGCAAGGAGGGTGACTTGTAGTGGGGGAAGAGGAGGGGAACTGTCAAGTTAATTCCAAGTTTTCCCTGCACGCCCAAAGCACAGAGCCGAGCCCTCAGCCTCCAAGGAGCCACCTCAAGCTGCCCATCGTGTCCACACCAAGCTGGTGCTGCCCCTGTGGGGCGATGGAGCATTGCCCAAGGGGCTCAGCCCCAGGTTTGGGGGAGAGGGGTCTGGTTGTCCTGCCTTGTGGTGGCTGTGTCCCCTTAGGGATGGAGCAAAAAAATCAATGAGGAAGTTCATCCCATTAGAAAAGAGTTTTCCTTTCTCGTTCCTCCAAAGCTGAACTGCTGTTAGTGAAGCTGCATTTCTCATCAGGATTAAGCAGAGGCAGAGTTTGGGAAACTTCACCCCAAAGGGCAGGAACCACGGATAACAAGAGCCAGGAGCCAGCACTGCCCTGCTGGGGAGTCACAGCCTCAGCTGGGCCAGCCCCAGCTCCAGCAGTTGCTCCCTGAGGACTCCTCACACGTGCCTTGAAGCTGGGGATTTAACCATCTATGTGACAATTCTTTATCCTCTCCATGTTTAGTTTTTACCGAATCTCTTTCTCAAAGACGCTCTCTTTGCCATCCCACGGGGCTGCAGCGACCTCTTTAAGGAAGGCTTTTGCTGAGGGTGTTTTTAGCTCCTCCTCATCCACACCTGGAGGGAGCCCTGCAGCCTGCACCCAGGGTCTGCAAATAAAGGCGAGCAGATCCTGCAGGTGGGAGAGGTGTCCGCAGGGCCAGAGCCTGTGCTTCGGGTGGCTGCAGGACAGCAGGGGCCGGTTCAGCCTTGTCAGGCTTTCTCTGAGTGCTGGATTAAGAGGTTGCTTCCCTGACGTTCTGCCAGGAGCTCAGAAACCTTTCACGAAGGATAAATCAATGCCGAACTTCCTCTGGATGCTCCCGAACCTCTGAAAGCTCGATGGCTTCATTACGGGAGGGAAGTGGCTGGGGTGCCAGGAGGGACGGGCATGGATCAGCCCCTTGTCCCCACCTCCAGAGGGACACATTGGGACCCGCAGAGCTGGGGTGAAGGCTTTGCTCCCCTGCTGTGGGGAAGGAGAGGGGCTCCTCGTGTCTGTCTTGTTTAATACCTTTCTTGATGAGCTGGGTGAGGGGATTGAGTGCACCCTCAGGAAGGTTGGGAGGTGGTATCAGTCTCCCTGAGGGTAGGGTGGCCCTTCAGTGCGATCTGGGGAGGCTGTGCTGCCCCGTTTGCTCCACTGCTGCCAGCAGCCCTCCCAGCTCCACCAGTAAAAGTGCCACTGCCTGCAGTGAGCAGCTTCCCTGGGAGCACGGGGGCTGCAGGAGCTTCTGCTGTGTGCCAGGCTGGAGGATTAGGGGGATCCCACAGCATTATCACAGCAGATCACCGCTCGCCCTAACGAGGCTAACAGGATTACCCGGCACACTGGCACCGGCGTGCTTGGCTGTGCGGTGTTGGTGCAGCTGCACGAAGAAAAGAGCTGGCTGGGGTTATTGCTGTTTGAGAAGGAGCAGGAACGTAGTGCATTGGGTGAAATGAAGAAGTTCTGCAGCTTCAAGCCTGCAGGTATCGAAAAGAGAGCTGAAGCCCCCGATGCACTGGTCTGGATGCGGCTGAAGGGTTGCTTTACTCCTTAGCACCAGCTCCTGTGCATCTCGCCTGTGCTCCTGGAGGCGAGGAGCCCTGATGCTGGAGGACTCACCTCCTTTAGGCATGAGGAAGCCCTGCTGTGGGCCAGCTCTGAGCCAAAAGCCAGGGGTGCTGACGGTGCCGACCATGGCTGCGGACTGCTCTGGCTCTGCCCTTCTGCAGCTCCAGCACTTACACCACGTGAAGCAGGCTCAGGAGCCCTGTGCTTGGAAATGGGGCAGAGCAACCTCCTGCCTGTGTGCAGCCACCAGGCAGGCATGTCCTTGGTTTACACAGCTCCTCCATCATCTTGGAGGTTTACATCTTGCTCCCCTGTCCAGCTGGAGGGCAGTGGCAATGCTGTAGTGCCGCAGGGCTGGAGTCCACGGGCTCTTTGCCTCACCCCATCGGCTCCTCAGAAGCTGACCCAACGATGTGGTGCTCCCTGCAATTAGCCGTGGCTGTGCTGCCTTTGGGATTTGGTGTAAGTGGGAGAGGGGAGCAGGAGAAGCAGCGGCACAGACAGGGCTGTGGGCTGGCTGTAGCAGGGTGCTGCTGCTCTCCCACGGCCTCGGGTCTCCCCTTGCCCTCCCAAATACCCGTGTGTGCCACATGAAGAGCAGGCATCCTCTCTGAGCCTCTGACTAGATCTGTGCTTTTCCATTTCCCGGTTAATGCACCTTCTCCCTGCATGAGCAGAGGGGTTTCCTCTCCCCCTCTCGCAGTGGTTTGTTAAATGACAGACTGCAAATACAGCACGGGGCCTCCCGAACTTAACACCAGGACCTGCTCGTGCTTAAACGAAGCAAGCGGTGATCCTTCCTTTTGCCAGAACAGACCAAGACTCGCTGTGGGTTATCCAGTCCAATTTGTGGGTTATGAATCGGAAAGAAGACAGATGACCACCAGCGGCCGTGTCTGCGCTGTTTGCGGGTCGGGGACTGCAGAAATGGGATGCTTCTCCCAGCACTTTGTAGATCCTGAGTCATTCGTCCTCCTGCAGCAGAGGCAGACACAAGGTTGGGTAGCTCTGAACAGCAGCGCTGCTCTTCGGGCTTCTGGTGGTGGTGGTGGGTTTTTTTCAGCATGTGGAAATCTGCTCTTTAGGAAATGCACTTTCTCAAAGGAGGAGCTAGGAATTAGGGGCTCCCATCCCTGTCCCACGGAGCATTTCTCCCTCCATGGGGATTCACCCCGTGCCCTGTGGCAGGAGCTGGCTCGGCATCATGCCTGGCCAGGCTGAGCAAAGAGGGAATCACGGAGTGTCTGAAGGGACTGAAGGAGGAGAGGAGATGCCCAGCAGGGCGAGGAGAGCAAATGCTCATGGAAACGTGGAGCAGCACCGCCCGTTCTGCATTGCACAGCCCAGCAGATTGCAATGCTCAGCTGTCCTGCTGCAAGCTTTCCCGTCGTGCATTTCTAAAGCTCTGCCTGGACAAGCTGGGGCCGCATCCTGCACGGTTCTGGGGACGGTGCCGGTGGCCTCAGCCCTTTGTGGCATCCCCTGCTGTGGCCGCAGGGTGCTCCTGCTCACCCAAACCTCCCCTAAACCTCCTGGGAAAGCCTCCAGCGCCAGCTGCAGCTGCTGGAGCTCTAGGATGGGGTCGATAAAATCGATATTTCCATGGGGTGATGGAGTTCCTCCTCCCACACCACGCTGCCTCGACAGGAAACAAACGGGTGGACACAACAACCACTGCAGCCAGAAGGAGGTGGTGGGGCTGTTTGATGCCAACCTCTGTAGGTGTTTTTTTTTTCCCCCCAATTTGCTCTCATTTCCATGGCAGGCGCTGGGAGTGAGACGGTGCCCCAAGCCTCCCAGCTCTGCTTTGCAAGCACTTTGAGGTGCCTCTGGTTTGCAGAGCCTATATTTGTTATGTAATGAGCGCCAGGAATTAATGAGCCGCCGCCTGGCTGGGGAAACTTGCGTACTAAGCACCCAAGGAAAAAATAACTTCCCCTTTTTGTAACTGAACTGAGGGACCATTAGGACGCGCAGTCCTTGCCGTGAAACCGCCCCAGCCCCAGGCCAGGCAGGCTGAGCTGGAGCAGGAGCTCACGCCGACTCCTTCCCTTTGGAGGAGTAATGCTCCTGCCTCTCCCGTTATGAATCATGAGGTTAGCAGCTTTTGACAGATCATAAATCAGTGCTTCGAAGTCGCTAGGACAAATCCCAGGACATTTAATCTTTAATATTAGACGTGTTTAAAGCAGTGAATATTTCATGAAGGTGCCGTTGCATTTTAGCATGCCATTAGCTCTTTCTTTCTCCCCCCCACTTCCATTTTCCTACCTCCCCCTTTCCAGACAGCTCTCATCAAAAAAAAACAAAAACCTCACAGGCTGCACCCCCGTTTTGTTCCTTCCCAACAAGAAAGCTCCTTGCTGTAATCCCCGTGAGACGCGTGGAGCTCGCCCAGGGGCCCGAGGAGCACGCAGGTACCGGCCAGGCTGCAGCAGTGCCGGCTCCGGGGGCTCTCCTCTCCCTGCCTCCCCCCTCTGAGCAGGGCAGCAGTGGCTCTGTGCCCCCCTTCTCCTCCTGGCTCTGCACCAGTGCTTAAAGAGCAGCCTGCTGCAACGAGGAAAAGTGTGATGGGGGCAACTGGGGAGGGGGAAATTATCGACGGGTGCTTGTAGGGGAAAACTCCACATGCAAACCCAATTCCTCTGCTTATTTCGCTGCTTCTTGCTCCGGGTTACGCCTCTCTACCAAACACAGAATCGATTGGGGTGGGATCCCTGCTCCTGCTCTCAGCGGGGTGTAACAGGGTGCAGGAGGAAGGGGCAGCGGGGTGAGACCTCGTTAAGGTTTGGGCAGGAGCACAGCGAAGGCTGGCTGCAGAGGGTGAGGCTGGCACCACGCTGAGGACGGAGGGCAGCCCGTCTGCTGCAGGCTGGGATGGGAGCAGCCACATCCTCATGGAGTTTCTCTGCAGGCAGAGCTGTCCTTGGAGGCCGTCGGGCAGAGTTCGGCTGAATCTGGGGAGCTGCGGGGGTGCACAGGAGCACGGGCTGAGGACAGGCATTTTGCATCCTTACATCTCATCCCTGTTCACAGCAGGAGCACGTCGCATAACCCCTTCAGAAAAGCTTCATGTTTCCTCCCAGCTTCCTCACCAGGAGGTTTCAGAAGGCTCCAAAGAGCTCCAAATCCACTGCAGGCACCTGGACTGCCTGTGACGAGCAGGGCTGAGCAGCAGGGGCTCCTTGCACAAAGTTGTCTCACCTCTCCCTGCTCTCTTTTAGGGGAGTGCAGCTGCCACGAAGGCTACGCCCCAGACCCCGTCCATCGGCACCTGTGTGTGCGCAGTGACTGGGGACACAGCGAGGGGTGAGTGGGAGCCGAGCTCCTCCCTGGGGGGTGCTGGGGCCAGCTCTGCTCCCCCCTGGCCACCACCATCCCCAAGGACCCGGCGCCCAATGGGTGCTGCTGGCCTTGCCGGCGGCGTGCCGCAGCTTCTCTCTCCCTCTTGGTCTCGCAGGCCGTGGCCCTACACAACGCTGGAGAGGGGATACGACCTGGTCACAGGAGAGCAGGCGCCGGAGAAGATACTCAGGTGGGTCAAATGACTGCTGGGCTCCTCCAGCTGCTGGACCTCCTGTGCTAGAGGCCCACCTCCTACCCCTTTTTCCCACCTGACACGTTTGTCCTCACTCCAGGTCCACCTATAGCCTGGGACAAGGCCTGTGGCTGCCGGTCAGTAAGAGCTTCGTGGTGCCCCCCGTGGAGCTTTCCATCAATCCCCTCGCCAGCTGCAAGACAGATGTGCTGGTGACAGAAGATCCAGCAGATGTCAGGTAGGAAGCAGATTTCTCGCTCTGCTCATGCTCGAGTGACTAGACTGCTCTTTAAATTGTTCCTGAGGATGCAGTAATTTCTGCGATGATAAGTTTGATTAATTTTCTTCCAATAAGAAATCCGACGTGATAACTCTGCAGCATTTTTATTTTTTTTTGGTCCTGATGGGTCTAGGCCAGGTGTGTGCGTATAACTCTGATGCAGGCAGGTAGATTGGTATCAACCTGTGGCAAGGCAATTTTCCTGTGGCTTCAATCTAACGTGTGATTGCACAGCTGTAATCGGGGCACTCGCAGGTATGGAAGTGCCATCCTCGTGCAGAATCTCATCTCTGTGCCACATCAGCCCAGCCCTACAGCCTGCTCCGGGGCTCCCGAGGGGCCAAGGTCAGACCTGGTGAAAGGCCGTGCTGCTTGTCCAATTAGTGCGCAATTAGGGGATTTTTTTATCCTTCCTGGAGTTCAGCAAATGCCCGAGTGTTTCTCTAACTCATCATTTTGGCTAGCTCGTGCCTCAGCCAGACCTCCTCTGATGTCTAATTCAGCAGTGTGACCTCGGGGTGTTGTGGGAGGAGAATTGCCCCAGGGGAAGGAGGGGCTGGGAGAGGGGGCTGAGGGTGGGCAAAGTGGGGGGCTTGGAAAGGGAGTCCAGGCAAAGTGGTTGTCTGCCTCTGCCTGGTTTGCAAGGGTTTGACTGTTTGATTCCTAAGGCATTTGGTGTGCATCCCCTCTCCCCCGTTAAATCAAGATCGAGCATGTGTTCTTTGGGGGTGCCAGGGAGACTGTGGGAGCCCTCCCTGCCTCCCTGCTTGCTGCTTTCTCCTGTTCACTTCAAACAAAATTTCCTGACATGCAAATTTTTGTCTGTGGTGGGAATCGTCTTCATGGGCACCAGCAGGCTCCTTATTTCCCCAGCCTATCTTGCCTTCTGTTTCCCAAAAGCAACAGGACAGTGGCTTCCTTGTTTCTGCTCCATCAGGGGTGTTGGCAGGGCTGCAGTTGGAGCAGGTACCTCCAAAACCTGCAGCAGAGCCAGGACTGGCATCCAAAAAGTCCTCGCTTCCAGGGATGTGTTTGTTGATGTTTGGTGCTCGTTTTCTCTTCTGCAAAGGGAGCCGGATGGTATATATCTGTCACAATTTGGCTCTGCTGGGAAAGGTAGCTCTTGTCTGCAGAAGGCGACTGGTTTTTGGTTGAGAAGGGTCGCCTTGTTGCATGCCAACATTTTCCAAGCCAAACCACCGCTGTCTCTTGCTCCCTAACATCCTCGTTAGAAAGCAGAAGCAGAGGTTGGGAAGCTCACTTTCTGCCCCGGTGCTGTGATTGTCTCTGGGCACCGATCCTCGAGGAGGAGCCTCGGGATGGAGGAATGCCAGGGCAGGGAGCTTCTGGCATGGAGGCTGTTGCCTGCTCTCCTCCTAATGAAACCCGAACTGAGAATTCCAGATATAAATATTGGAGTGACCCAAGTGGAATAAGGGAGGCAAGTTCACAGCGCTTGTATCGTACATGCAGGAGATGCTAAATTATTAAAACTTTAATAAACGTAATAATAAATATTTGATGTTGAATTATGGGAGGTTTCACAGATACAGTGAAAACCAAAAACTGATCTATTATTTCTGCATTAGAACCTAAACACTTCTCAAACCGGGATCAGGCGGCTGGCGCAGGGTCCCGAGCACCCTGTGATGGGTGGAGGTGGAGCTGGTGCCTCCCGAGCTGGTGCCAAAAAGTTGTGCTCAGTGCTGAGGCAATCCACACACAGGGACATTGCGGTGTTGGGTGCTCACAAGCATCGCCTTGCCCTGTCTCTGTGCTGAGGTTTTGGGGAGCTTTGGATTGAGAGGTACCTTGGCAGCAAGCCGAGGGAGCAGCAACGCAGCAGTTTGGTGGTCCAGATGTCCCAGTGATGACTGGTAATGTCAGACCTGATTTTGGAGCTGAACGCATCCTACCCACTGTACCTGTATCCAAAAGCCATCCCTGTGCCCTCGGAGGGCCCTGCTCGCTGGGAGCACGGTGGCACTGCTGTCCCTCTGTGCCTGCAGCTCCTGCTTGCGGTGCTTTAGCTCTGATCCAGCCCCGTCCCCGTGCCCAGGGTCAGATCCGCAGCACCTGACAGCAGCTGCAACACGCTGCGTCCCAGCGCCTGGTGTCCTGTTTGCTGTCCTGTAATGCCGTGCTGGTAATTCAGTCCTGTATTTCTTCTGTGCCTTTAATAACAGCCGTGCTGAATTCCTCCAGACCTTTCATTAGTCTGGCACCTTTTGGCTCTGGGGTCACTCGTCTTGAAGAGTTTAATGGAGGGAAATTGCAGAAAGCCTGGTCTGGAGAAAACAAGTGATGAAGTCTTTACAACTTGGAGGGTTAAAGGTTCAAACGTAGCCTTGTGGTTTTATGAAGATGCTCGAGACTGCAGAAAGGCCAGGTGGGGCTCTGCCACTCAGCATCTCTCTGGAGCAATGCTGACTCCCTGCTGCAGCTCGCGGGGATGTTGCTCTCCACGTGCTTCACTGCCAGAGCCTTCTCCAGCTTCCTCCCACGGCTGCAGCCAGCCCTGCAGGTAGGATCCCGAGGGGGGCGTGCAGACACCCCGCTGGAAACGCTGCCTGCGCTCTGCACACCCCCGGAGGGGAGCAGGGACCGGGCTCGTCCTGCAGAACTTGGCGGTGGGGGTGTTAGGGCCACGCATCCTAAACTGAGCAAAAGGTTTCCCTCAGAGCTGGGGAAGCTCCTGTGCATAATTTAGCAGTAACTGTTTTAAGCGTCCCCTCTGCAACTCCAGAGCATGATCCTCTGCACAGTGATCACATCGGCCATAAGTCTTAGCTCCTGGGAGCCAGGCCAGCAGTGACAGCCCGGTACTGGTGGCACCACGCTGCCGGTGACACCTTTGAGGGTGGCCAGCACTGGAGGCTCTCCCTGTGCTGGCCTCCAGCTTGTGCTGGGCTGGATGCTCCAGCTGCCAGGTCCAGAAGCATCTCACCTTGTCTCGCTTGTTTTAAAGCCCCCCCCCCCTTTGTTTCCCTCTCCCCATGGCTCCCATCCCCTCTCTCCCATCCCGTATTTCTCCAGTAGCTCGGTGATGAGCACAGCAGCCTGTACTGGTGTTAACAGATTACTCTCAGGTGTTTAATCCTTCTGCTGACCTTCCCTGGACACGTGGCCTTCACTTTATGGTCCTTTGGGACATATCGCCCTTGTCCTGTGGGACAGGGCATCACTGTTCTGCTCAGAGCAGGCTGCTCACCCCATCAGCAGCTCATTAGGGACAGCAGCAGGGAGGACCCGCAGCCCTGCTTCCACTGCTGCTCCCACCCAGCACCCCAGCACTGGGTGACAGGGGCAAAATGGTGGTGGCACTGCCTCTGGGGACATCCCCCGGGGGCAGAGAGCAGCGCTGGGACATGCTGGGGGCCCCCCTATCACTGTGGGGATGGGTACGGGCCGGCACCCCCTGCCCAGCACCCTGCAGCCCCGCTGTGTCCCCAGCTCGGCGGAAAAGTTTGTAATTTCTTCTGAGTGGCTATAAATCAGAGGAGTGAGCCTCAGCTGCTGCCTGACATGACATATAGCTCCATCGTTATGGCAACCATAGAAACAAATAAAAGCCTTGCCTTCGCTTGACAAGCCTTTGAGATGTCCTGATGGAGAGACAAGTGTTCAGTGGCAGAATGAATTCTCTTGAACTCTCTGTCAATTCATCTTCGTTTTGCTCCCAAGTGAGCCCCTTTGCTCTCTGAATTCTTTGCCAAAGTACAATCAGCAAGATTTTTTATTATTGTTGTTATTATTATTTCATTTTCAGTTCTCTCAGTGCTTCACACACTGCACACGAGCCGCCTTTCCCCCCCTGCTCTGAGCGCACGCACCCCGTGGAGCAGGGACCAGCCCGTGCCGAGGACAGGAGCTATCGCTCCCCCTGCGCCTGGCTGCTCCTGGCTCAGCCCCAGGACAAATCCTTTTTGCCCCTGTGACAAATCCACTGCCCCCGCCTTGCAGGGGCTCTGCCAGAAGCACCGAGTGGCACTGCTTTTGCAATGATTCAGGAGCTTTGCGAGTTGGTGCCAAGCACCGTGGTGTGAGGCTCCCTGCCCTGCCGGGGGTGGTGGAAAGCAAAAAGGAGAAGAAAAGAAGAATCTGGGCCAGGAGAGGGGAAGCAGCTTTGCCACAGCATCAGCAGGGCTCATCTGCTCTGCACCTGGGCTTCGTGCAGGAGCACAGACAAAGGGGTGCTGCTGCAGGGGAGCACTGCTGAGCCTCGGGAGGGTTTTACTGGGCACCCTGCTCCAGCACAAGGAGGGTTTCTTGCTCACCTCGAGCACCACCAATTCTGCACAAAAGGGTTTCTCTTGGACCCACTCCTGCTGCATTTTTTTGCTCTGTCTCCACGTTCCCTCCATCTGCAGCACAGCCCTGGGGTGCGTTCATGCAAGGGAAGCCCTTTTTGGGGCTGTCTGTGAGCAGGAGCAGTGACCCCACGTTGCTGCCTTCCAGGCTTTTGTCCTGCTGGTAAGCAGCAGCCGTGGGCACCGACGCCGCAGCTGACAGCAGGTGCCTGTGATGAATGGACAGCTTAACGTGGTGGAGCAAATTGATCATTGCATCACCAAGCACAACTTACTCATTTCTGGAGGGACGACAATCCATTACAGTGCACATCACAGAGACACCGGCATCCCCGGAGATAACGTCCCTGCAGCTCTGGGCTGGGTCCCTTATCACCCCAGCACGCCGTCAGCTCACCAAAACCAGTGGAGGAACAACTTCTGGTGCGTAACACAGGGATAAAGGCAGCCCCTGGCCTCGTCCTCCATGGGGGAAGGATGGATGTGGTGCAGAGAGGCAGCTGCCAGCCTCTGCCACGCGTGTGTTAACTTTGCATCAGGCTGCTTGTGGGATTTTTCCTGGTCCTGGCCTCCTGGTTTGATTTATGAGAGCAGATTGGAGGAGTCAGCGATGTCTCATTTGGCTAAGGGATGACTAAACGGGGACGT